GCCCCCCGCGGGTCCCTAAATGCCCCTGGAAGACGCTCCCTTCTCCCACCCATCCTGAGGTTATTTCCAGCATTAACGTGAAAGAGCCACGTGAGGAACTGAAGCTCCACGTCGCTTCAGAGAAAAGCGTACTGGGGCGCCCGGTCGCCACCGTGGATTGAAAAATACCAGCTGTGATGCCAGCGGGGCACTCGCTGTCGTGGGAACATGAGAACGCCCATCGAGCACGGAGCGCCCTTTGTTCCCAAACGAGCCCCAGCCTCTGAGCGGCGGTTCCCGGAACCGGCAGGTGCGTTGCTAGGACGCGTTTGCCGGGGACGGCCAGGCGGGTCCCTGCCCCTGCTGCCCACGGCCTGACTGAGGCGCCCCACACGCTGGAGCGTCACGGAGGGTTTGGGTGACCGCTGTCCCCACGGGAGGGGTTTTCACAGGAGGGGACGGCGGAGATCCTGGGTCTGGCCCTTCTGCGCCTGTCGGCTCGATGAATGAGCTCGGAACGGACCAGCAGACGGAGACGCTGGCGCCTCCGATCTCTGCGGTCGCCGTTCGTCTTCTAGCCGGAATCAGCAGGGCGTGTTCCTCCACTTCGCGTGGCTCTTACCCTCTACAGAGGGAATGTCCTGCCTACGGTCTCCTTTCCTCCTCTCAGCAAGAACAGCCTCGTGTCTTCTGGGGAGAAAATACGGTTTGGAGAAGTCAGTGGCTGGGCCGAGCTCTCCCGGGTGGAGAGTGGTCAGCTCTGGCCCCGGGTCCTTGCCTCAGCTCCACGTTCAGGGCCGTGGGCCACGGTCACTGTGTCCAGGCTCGTGGAAACGGTGGGCCACGGGGTCGCTGACGTTCAAGCGGAGACTTCCTGAGAGCCGCCCGACCTTCTCCAGAGTCCCACGGGAACGGCCGCTTGAAGGCGAATTTGTTAGAAGTGAGATAAGTGAGCTCTGGCCGGTGTGGCTCAGTGGATAGAGCCTCGGCCCGCGGACCGAAGGGCAAGAAGGGCAGGCACCTCGGCCGCTGAAAGTCACCCGACTGTCCCGCTGACGTATTTTATACAAATCCCCGCGGCCGGGCAGCTTGCTGGCTCCCGTAGACGACTTCGGCTTCGGTTCAATGAATTTGCCTCCAGATGCGTAAACACGAGCCATTTGGGGTCATTCCAACAGGGTCCACGGAGGACAGGCCGGGCCGCCCGAGCCTCCCACAAGCGAACTCTAATAGCTCCTCTTAACGTTAGATGGACCCGGGTAATGGAGACCTTTCCTAGCAGCTCATCGATTATCGTAGATACTGAGCCCGAGGGTCTCCGTACGGACGGAGGAGTCTCGGTCCAGATGAAAACAATGGCTTTTGCCTGTAGTGAGCTCTCTCATGCGCGGCAACAGGAAAGCAGTGAGTAAGTGTCGCTCTTTCTGTTCCTCCTGCAGGTGGACGACCAGATGAAGCTGCTGCAGAACTGCTGGAGCGAGCTCCTGATTCTCGACCACATTTACCGGCAGGTGGTCCACGGGAAGGAGGGCTGCATCTCGCTGGTCACCGGGCAGCAAGTGAGTGCGGAGGCCACAAACAGTGCCTTATTTTTATTTTAAATAGGTTCTGATTGATTTCAGAGAGAGGAAAGGAGAGGGGGAGAGAGAGAGAGAGTCATCGATCAGCTGCCTCCTGCCAGCCCCGACTGGGGATCGAGCCCATGACCTGGGCACGTGCCCCGACTGGGAATCGAACCCCGACCTCCTGGCTCACGGGCCGACGCTCAACCAGTGAACCACACCAGCCAGACCTGTCCTCTTGTCTCTTACCCTCCACCCTATAGCTGAGGCGTCATTAAAATAAACGCTTGCCCCCCCCCCGGCCCCGTTGGTGGCACAGCTCCTGTGTGGGCATCGCTTTGGCCACGCGGCGCCTGGCACCCGGACCGTCCGCGTCCGGCCATAAACGTTTATGGGCCGTGAAACCTCGGCAGTGCCGACCCGCCGTGAAAGGCCGTCTCCACGCCATTTGCCGTGTTATTAAATAAATCGCGTTTTCCCCGATCCAATGAAAGGCGGGCGCTATGTCAGAGTTTTTGCAGATTGGGTCAGTCCGAGCATCTCCACCACCACCCGGCCCCCGCTTTCCGTGCCCGTCCGGAGAAAAGCCTCTGGGGGAGGCAATAAAGTCTCCGTGGGCCCGACGTCCGTGCTTTCAGGTTTCGCCCGGGGTGACCCAAGTCTTCGGCGGGAATGTACCCATTTCCAGAGCCTCATCG